TATATATATAATTATTACCATATAGCAAAAGTATTAGGTAGAACATTATAATTTTTATTAAGGCTATTTAAAACAATATTTATACTGTAGTTTAAATAAAAAACAGACCCAAATTATATGTTAAATATGATTATAACCAGTGATCACTCAGGATTTGGGTTCCAGGACGCCAAGTGAATACCAAAATCTGTGTGGATGCTCAAGTCCCTTGTAGAAAATGGCATATTTGCAAATAACAAATGAGCACCCTCCCATATACTTTAAATATCTCTATGTTACTTATAATAGCTAATAGCATGTAAATATTATGCAAATAGGTCTTATACATTGAAAGTATAGAGAATAATGACATGAAAAGCCTGTACATGTTCAGAACAGATGCAATATTTTCCCAAGTATTTTTATCTGAAGGTGGATGAATCCACTGATATGTAACGCAGAGACACAGAGGGTCAACTCTCTGTGGTTAAAAACCTTTAACAAAGTCTATCAAAATGCTAATGCCCATTGTACTTGATAGAATTATGGAGTCCATCTTTTAATTAAGACTTTGTAGTTTTTATAAACTTTATATTTATCATGAGATGAATGCTAAAATTCATGTGATACTAGCCCACAATAAATTTTATGAGAAATTATTGTACAGATTGAGTAGCCCTTACCTGAAACACTTAGGACCAGAACTATTGCAAAAAAACTTTTTTTGGATTTAGGATATTTGCATATATATGTATATATTAATACACATATGCATATACATAATTCATTAATGTGTCACAAGTCTAAATGCAAATTTTATGTCTCATACACTGCACATATATAGCTTCAAGGAACTTTTATGTAGTATATTTAGTGAGTCTGTGGGGTTTTGTTTGTTGTTTGTTGTTGTTTTAGACAGGATCTCACTGTGTAATGTTGACTGACCTGAAACCTCACTATGTAGACCAGGCTGGCCTCAAACTCACAGAGATTCACCTGCCTCTGCCTCCCAAATGCTGGGATGAAAGGTTTGAACTACCATGTTGGCTCTAGGGGGTTTTTTTTAAGATTTTTTTTAATTTCTATTTATGTGTATATGTCTGTCTGCTCTGTATGTATTTCCGTATCTGTGTGTCTGCTTTGTATCTCTGTGTGTCTGTGTGTATGGGTCCCCATGCAGGTCAGAAGAGAACACTGAAGCCCCTGGAGCTTCAGTTACAGTCTATTGTGCCTGACATGGTACTCCAGTCCTCTAGAAGAGCAGCTAGGGCTCTTAACTGCAGAGCCATCTCTCCAGTCCCATGTCTATGTTTTGACTGTGAGCCACAACATGAAATCAGGAGAACATTTTCTACTTGTGGCATCAAGTATTCAAAAAGCTTTCAATTTTGGAGCATTTTGGATTTGGGGTTTTCAGATTACAGATGCTGAATCTGTATCTAACCATTCTGAAAAATAGGTAATATTTTAATCCCTATTAAGATTTCCACACCAGAGAGCACAGACAAAAGGAAGATGAAAATACCCAGAACCTCAAAAACTGTGCCACCAAATCTTTAGGACCTTATATAACCAAATCAAAAGTGAAAACCAAGAAAGATTACAAGAAATGAGGCACAGATAAAAGCAGCTGATATCACTCCAAGTGGGTAGTGTTTGCTTTCTTCTTGAAACTTCCCTGGGAAAGCGGCTCAACCTCCTCCAGTAATCCTCCTTAAGAAAATGTCCAAAAGCTCTCACAAAACAAAAATCTCTTTACAAAGTCAAACAAGTTGTAGCTACACATGGCTGTGGACTCCTTGTCCTCACTTCAAATCAAACTCTAGGTTTGCTTGTAGAAAATGGACTTAATATCATCTATATTATTGGATCATGGTCAGAATTAAGTCATTGATAAAGCCCCTGAATAGATGAGAAATGTTACTTCTCTAGATCGATCTTTTCTCTCTCAGTGTTTCTCAGTGTGGAACACTACTACCACAGCATCAGAATCACGGGCATTTATCACAAAGGTTAATTCTATAACTCCTGGAGGCATGACCCCTGCTTCATTTTTATCAAATACTGCAAGTTGAAGGACCATGAAAATTAAGCTGTTTTAGCATGGTTTGTGGCATGCCTATTTTCCCAGCCACTAGGGAGGCTGAGGAAGGAGGATGGCAAGTTCAAGGCCTACCTCGGCTACAAAGCAAGTTTAAGGTCAGTCTCGTAACTTATTGAGACCCTTTCTTAGAAAAGGGACTGAGGCAACCAGCAACTGTTTAACTGGACTTAGCGCCCACTCAATAGGAGGGAATTCATGGCTGGTACTATAAACCTGGCTAACTACCAGTGTCTGGAGATGGCATAGACACTAGAACAGAACCAACTACTGCCATTTTCCTAAACCAGTTATCATTTCTAACTGTACACTAGCCTACTTATCCTTAAACCCTCTCACCCCTCCTCAAAAAAAGCTTCTTTTTACAGCAGGGAGTGGCTACTACAGAGATCCACAAGTGGTCAAAATGCAGAGAATTAGAGACCATGGGGTGCCCAGCCCCAATTGATATATTTACACCTAAGGATCAGGAAACATCACAGAAGAGGGGGCAGAAAGATTGTAAGAGACAGAGGACCAAGACACCTGCTGCTAGATAGTGTCTTCTAGACATGACAGGGAAGTTCACCCATGAAATCTCAGCAATATGACTACCTAAACAAGATGTGCATAATGAAAACTCCAGTTGACATGTCAACATAGCTAGAGCAAATTTCACATGGCCCCCACCCTTTGATAAAGAGCTACAGGCAGGGGCTGGAGAGATAGCTCTGCTATATGATTATTTCCATTAAAAAGTAATGGCTTCAAACCTGACGATTTTCACCGGCTGTGTAAGCGTGTTTACCTATTGGCTTGCTTTCTATGTCTGTTAAATGAATGCCATATACAAATACTAAAATAGACAGTGTCTCAGAACTGAATTAGTGCAGTTACTTGATGCTCTGAATCAGTGTAGGATTTACTGCTAGATGGTTTTTAACCCTTGAACTTGTGATTGTGAACCATGAGTGGACAACCTTTCCGTGCTAAAACTGATCATGTCTGCAGCCAGAAAGGTACTTTTAGTTTTTTGACCTTTTTATTTTTTTTTAAGGCAGGGTCTCCCTGTAGCCCCAATGAGCCTGGAACTCACTATGTAGACCAGGCTTGCCTCTGCATCCCGAGTGCTGTGATTAAAGGTGTGCACCACCACGCCCAGCAAATGTATTTGTCTTATTTTTCGTAACCATTCTCTTAATGACAAAATAATTATAGTTAAAAAACAAGTCTTGTGGGGGCTGGAGAGATGGCTCAGCAGTTAAGAGCACTTGCTGCTCTTGCAAAAGGGCCTGGGTTCAATTCCTAGCACCTACAGGGTGCTGTTGTCACAGACAGCTAACAATTATAACTCCAATTCCAGGGGATTCCATGCCCTCTTCTGACCTCCACTGGCACTTCATGACACAGGTGCAGGCAATACACACACATAAAATAAAACAATAAAATATTTTTTTAAAAGTCTTGTGTTTATTATCCCTTAAGAACTCTGTGTTATATTACCATGGAACACCTAATAAAGCAAAATATGCTTGTTTAAAAAAATAAAGACGGGTTACTTCCTGGCACCTGTATGGCAACAAACCACCCATAACTCCAGTTCCTGAGCTGTCGATGCCCTCTTCTGGGCATTGCATGCATGTGGTACACTTATATACATGCAGGCAAAAAACTAATAGACATTAAATAGAAATAAATTTTTAAAAAATTTTTAAAAGAGCTATAGGCAATCAATGGCTGCTGAGAGGGAAAATCAGTTTCTCCAGCCCCCTGATAGGTTATCCAATCCCATGTGGTCAGCCCTAAACACATGTAAATACAAGCAACACTAAATAGATTCAATATGGTTTAAATGAATATATATATGTATATGTGTGTACATATATATATACATAAAACAATAACAATTAAAAGAGAGATCAGGAAATTGAAGGGGGAGGATGGGAGAAGTTGGAAGGAGGGAGGGGAGGAGGAAATTATGTAAAAACAGTACTCATGAAATTCTCAAAAAAATTAAAAATTTAAATTAAAAAAAAATTACTAAGGCCAGGTGTCTACAGCTGGTTGTTCTTGCAGAAGACCCAGGTTCGAATCCTAGCACCCACATGGCAGTTATTTTGATATATCACAGTGAAAGATTTATCGTCCTCTTTTTTTTTTTTTTTTTTTTTTTTTTTTTAAAAAAAAAAAAAAAAAAAAAAAAAAAAAAAAAAATTACTAGGGATTTAGCTCAGTGGTAGAGGCCCTAAGTCAGTCCAAGCTCCAGTACTTCAAAACTAAGCTATCATAATATGTTTAACTTCATTGGTTCTCTTCAGACTCAGAACAATTTAAAAACTTTTCCCCATAAAATATTTTATAAATTTGATGGCCCTCAAGGGTAGGAAAGGAAGATCTTAGATCCTCTACATTAAAAATCCAAATTCTGGGGCTAGAAATGGCTCCATAGTTAAGCACATTGACTGCTCTTCCAGAAGACCCAGGTTTAGTTTGCAGCACCCACCTGGTGACTAACCATCATTTGTAACTCCAGTTCCAGGGGATCTGACACCCTCTTCTGGCCTCCACAGGCACCACAGACACACAGGCAAAATACTCATGTACATAAAATAAAAATAAAATAATTAAAAAAAAAAAAACTCTGGAGCTAGAGATACAGCTCAGCAGTTAAGAGCACTAGCTGCTCTTGCAGAGGACCCAGGATGGGTTCTCAGCACCCACATGGTGGCTAACAACCACCGGTAACTCCAGTTCCAGGGGATACAATGTCCTCTTCTGGCCTGCACAGGCATTGCATGACACGAGTGTACTTACATACATGCAGAAAAAAACTCATACATATAAAATAAAAATAAAAAAATTTTTTAAACCCAAATTCTTTATTCTTCTAAGGGTGTATACTTTTCACATTTTAAACATCAGTCTTCATCTCCAAAGCCATCCAATGTCTTTACATGTCTATTTAGGGACAGCTAAAACTAAATTGTAACCTCTCACAATCCAAAAAGTAGAGTACTTATTAAATGATCCTAAATCATTTAATATTAAGAAGATGAAGTCAACGAAAACTGACAATCTTGTTTTGTTTTGTATTTTTATTGCCAGCAATGGGCTAGAGATGTAGCTCAGTCGGCAGAGCACCCACCTAGCATGCACAAGGCCCTGGGTTTGATCCACAATTCAAAAAGACAAAAAGAGAGGCAGAAGGGAATAGCAGATAGCAAAATCGTAGCTTTTTACTTCCAAGCATGAGACCATGGGTATACTTTATGTCCAAATGAGGAAATACTTGTTGAGGATTTTAATATCTAATTTTATTAACTTCTGGTTAAATTTAATTTCTAATTTGGCATTTAGCTCCTAATAGCCATTAAAAAAAAAAGAAAAAGAAATACTTGGAATTACTGTGGGGGACCTTCAATTTTATGATAGTCAACAGCATCTTTACATAAAAGTCAATTCTTAAAACCCACAAGTTTCAGAACATAAAAATAAACTTCTATTTATAAATTTCATTCTGTTCCAAAAGTGTTCATCACATAAAATTTAGCTGAATCAAATAATTAATTATCTAATGCGAGTATTAATTCAAAGCACAGATTTTATGTACGTTTTCCCATTTCCCTTTTGCTTCTTTCCTAGATAAAAACAGGAAATTGTTAATATCCTCACTATAAAATTTTGACCACACACATTGGCCTTTTCAAGTAATTCAGAAAAAAAAATAAATGTCAATAGAAACTCCTGAGATATGGCAGTCTTCAGCATGGTCACAGGAACCTCTAACAATAGCCCTCTCAAGTTCAGCCCCAAAGATGGATCACTTGTGCTACTTCTAAAGATGTGTTCAATTTCTTTTACCACAAAAGAGACAAACATACCGCTGCCAACCACATTTGTCCTTTCTGTCTACATTCAAAAATATCTCACACGCATTAGCACAGTAATCTGCTCTTAGGAGAAGCTAGTTCGGATACACTCATTAGCATCTTTGGTTACAAGGGCAATACAGTGTGTAGATGCTGTTAATAAGAGCTCTACGATGGCTGTCAAGATTGGAAAAAAAATCCTATAGATAAGACATAAATGCAGTCTGCGTTGTCTAAGTTCTTTGCAAGTCATTATACAAAGCACAGCTCTGTTTTGAAATTTTAAACGTATTAATAATGTCCATCTCACAATGGGGCCAAACACAAAACTTTTTCTATACTGCAGATCGCTGATTGTGATTCCTCTGGTGTCGTTGAGGGTTGCTAGGTCTCCAAAGGGCACACATAAGACAAGAACATGTCCAACTGGTTCTTCACAATCACTTCATCTGGATGCAGCTTGTGGGGTAGATAATGGGCCAAGGTCATCTCCCAGGCATCGACAAGATATACTCCAACCCCTGAGAACATCCTCCGAAGGACAACGTCCAGCTGGAAGTTGTACCAGTCACTGTTAAAAAGGCTCACCTCAGGCCCCAGCTCTTGGGCATTGGCTGTCCGGATGACAACCACAGTCTTTGGGCTTCGATCTAGGAGTTGGACCACTGCTCGTCGGATGTTCCTGAGCCTCCGAATATACACTTCCAAGGGGAATGTACTAAAGTGAGACCATATAGCTATGGCAACCACAGTGTTCTTCCCTCCCACAATCCCATTGAGCTCATTTGCCACATAATGGAGCTCACTGCTAAAGACAGTGGTGAAGCGGATGGGTGGGCCATGGCAGCGATATTTGAGCAGGATGTTGTGTTTCTGATCCACTGCAAGGAAGGGTCCCACATTCTTGGGACTACCCAAATTAAACTCCACTAAATCTGGAACAAGAAAAATTCAAATTCACAAAAATATTCAATCTAAACACATATATTTACCAAGTGGCTTCAGTTTTTTAAATAGAAGTAGCACAAAAAGACTCCATATAAATGTAAAGGGAATACCAATTTCACTGTCCTAGTTCTGGTTTTGAATCAGTAGGCACTTATTATTCAAATCACTCCAAAACATCACTTAATAAGCAATACCGTCAGTGACAGAGTATCTACATATGTCTACGCATGGTTACCTCTATTAGGCCAGGAAATCTTGCTATTTGTACCCATCACTGAATATTTATGAATCAACTTGTCATTTATACTTTATTCTTCTAATGGATGAATTTGTCTTCCAGGACAAGGGCTATAACTTGTGTTTTATAAGCACACTTCAGCAACCAGGTGCCTCTTTTTGGAAATTCTGTCACTTGTAACAACATGAATGAGCCTGGAGGATGTTATGTTAAGCCAGGCACAGAAAGACAAATACTCCATGATATCACTTATATGTAATAACTAAGAGTTTAACTCGCAGAAACTGATTAGAAGCTGAGGGTCTTGGGGAGATGGAAGGAAAGGGGGAGAAACTGGTCAAGGATTCCTGTTTTAATTAGATAGGAAGAATACATTTGTGAGACCTAGTACACAGTATAGTGACTATATTTGACAACAATGTATTATATTTCAAAATTACCCAAAGAGAATTTTAAATGCTCTCACTGAAAATAAGTATATGAAATGAAAGGTATGTTAGCATGGTTAAATCATTCTGCCATATATACATATATCAAAATACCATATTGTACCCATAAATATATGCAATTACTTGTCAATTAAAAATGAACTTTTAAGCCAGGCAAGTCTGCATATACCTGTAAACCCAGTACTTAGGAGGTAGAGGCAGAGGATTATTGAATTTCAGGCTAACCAGGGCTACACAGAGAGATCCTGTCTTCAAATAAACAAATATACTTTTTAGAAAATGGGATGGTCTAAATTGTATTTCTGGGTTAAAAAAAAAAAAAAAGGAAGTTCTTCCTTTTTTAAATAAGCAAAAGAAGCAATTCTGTTTCTTTTAACTTTCGATTTTATCCCATAGTTGGAAAACCACATTAACATCCTTCAGGAAAACTTCTGTATCTACCCTAAGAAACAACAAAGTCAGCAGCACAACTTGGAAATCCTTTCTCTCCTTTTCCATCTAAGTTGTGTTTCAAGGCCTAGTTCCCACAAAATCCCAGCACATGGGAAGTAGAGGGAAGAGGATCACAAACTTCAGGCCAGCCTAGTATACAAACCAAGCTCAAGTCTAGTCAGAGCTACAAAGCAAAACACCTGTTTCTAATTAAATACATACATGCATAGTAAATGTTGACAATGAAATTCCATTTCCATTTCCTTAGCACCTATCAAGTGCCCACCACCAAAGGCACCAGAAATCAGCTTAGAAGGATGTCACAGACTTGCCTCAGAGAGAGTACAGCCAGTTCTGAAAACATAGTGTCAGACTGTAGTTGCCTGGCATTCCTCTTAGGAGTTAAAAGCAGATTTCACTCTTTCGTGATTTCACTCTGTCATCCCAAACTTCTCTTTTAGGCTTTCCTTCTAAATCCATCACTACTTAGCTTCCAGATCTAAACTGAGTAAAAAGCTCATGCTATTATTTTATTTTGATAACTATCAGGCACCCACATAAGCCCCAGAGGACATAAGAGGCTGTCAGATCCCCTGGAACTGGAGCTACAGACAGTTGTTAGCTGCCATGTGGGTGCTGGGATTCAAACCCAGGTCTTCTGCAAGAACAGCCAGTGTTCTTAACCACTGAGCCATCTCTCCAGCCTGAGCCCTTTTTTCAATCAGATGAAAATCTGTCTGGGAAAAGGGTCTGGTGGAAAATGATCAAAACAATCAGTGTGATCATTGCTATTAAAGGAAGTATCAAGCTACATCATCAGAAATTATGAAGAAGCAACTGCAGGCGCCTTGAAGGCCTGCCTGGTCAGCATCAAGGTTAGCCCAGCATCATGCCACACACTACTCCCTTATCCAGAGTTTTAATAAAAAACTGGAAATGACTTTCCACCTTTTGGGAAAAAATCTACTTTTTTTTCTTCTGAAAGAACCAATGAAAAATCATCACAGGCAACTTACACACACATACACACACACACACACACACACACACACACACACACACATACACACACACACACACAAAATGGTTCCTGGACTGGACATGGTGATGCACACCTTTACTCCCAGCACTCAGGAGGCAGAAACAGGCATATCTCTGTGAAATCAAGGCGAGGCTGGTCTACATAGTGAATTCTAGGTCAGCTGAGGCTACAGGGAGACCCTGTCTCAAAAAAGAAAAATAGGTCCCACATGAGCTAGGGAGATAGCTTTATGAGGGCTTGTCATGCAAGGCTGAGGACCTGAGTGTGAGCCCCAGAACCCAAGTCATAAAAAGGGAAGGGTGATAGTACACACCGTAATCATGCTGTTGGGAAGACAGAGACCAGCAGATCCCTGAGGTTCACTGGCCAATGAGAGACCCTGTCTCACAGAACAAGGTGGACAATATCTGAGAACAACACCCAACGTTGACCTCTGACCTAAACACCTACACACACACACACACACACACACACACACACACACACACACGCACACACAAACACATGTACACATAAACACACAAACACACAAATAGTTCTCATAAAATCACTTGCTCTTTATTCTTGCTCCCCAAAATCCACCTCTCATCACTTCATGTACACCTGTCAGTGAAAAAAGAGAATGCCCACTGTGAATAAGCAGTGCTCCAACCACCAAGGTCTTATTCTAAATCTGGAGAGTAGTTCCAGAGCTAAGGAGAATCTAGGAAACCTGGGACTTACCCAGACTCCCTCAATAGACGCCAGCCAGCTTAGCGTCAATCAATGACAGCCCCAATGGATGGCTTGTTACAAAGATACACAGTTCATTTAGCTGCTTCCTTGTAGTTAAATCCTGTTTAAACCTAGAGTTTAAATTAAGCCAAATAGAATGAGAAGAGAAACAACCAGAAATGCCTGTCTTATAATCCACAATAGTAGTAAAAAAAGACACCTGTGAAGTGACATGGTTCAGCTGTTTCATCTGACACAGGGGGAAATAAAGGCCCAAGAAGTAAATGACTCATCCAAGTGACAGAGTCAGTCAATGGGATGAGTCTCAATGAGAACCCACCAGGACAACAAGACCCCACTACTGACCAGAAACTAGCACGCATCTCTCCAGCGTCAGGACATTCCTGTGGAGAAATGGCTTCCTTGCCTGATGCGTTTCTTCAGCAGAAAAGTGAGCCTGCTCATTTCAAATCTGATTTCATACAAGGGGGAAACAGTGATGAAACCAAAAGCAAAGTACCAACCTGGAACAAATGTAGTAAGGTATTCAAACCACTGCCTGATTGTTGAGTCACCAAATAAATACACCACTTTTCTTTGCAAGCATTCTGTAATGTTGTCAGGGTCATTAAACTGGCGCATTTTAAACTTTCTGGGCCTCCACTGGTCTTTGTAGAAATACCCAGAAGGAAAAGTTCCTGAGTCTTGAGAGAGTTCTAAGTTGTCAATTGCTGTAAAGAAAAAGAGAAGATATAGTATATTCTGAAATTCACCTCCAAAAATTGATGGAAACTGTACCCAGAAGAACAACTCTACCCACATATTTGCTGGACTGTAGCTTATAAGCAACATTTCCCATTGTCAGAGCTCAAAGAAATCCCAGGCTTTCCCCCAATTCAAAAAGGTTCTCCTTTGCACAAAAATGGGAAGATGTGAAGTGGGTGTGGGGGGTACTGGAGGACACCAGGGAAAAAACTTCAGGTATTCCCTCTGTATATTTGTGTTTTCAATGAAGTTCAAAATAAAGGAAGACAAAAACCAACAGTAAGTATCTATCCAGGATTACTTCAGAACAGGAGAATCATTGTTCATCCAAATACCTTGAAAGGCAAGGAATAACTTAATTTCATATTTTGTAAATGTATAATATAGCATCTCCTCATTCATTAAAAGCAAAATTTTTTGTTGGTGGTGGTAGTGGTGGTTTGGGGGTCTTTTTGTTTGTTTTTTGAGACATGGTCTCACTATGCAGCCCTGGCTAACCTAGAACTCACTATGCAGATCAGGCTGACCTCAAATGCACAATGATTTGCCTGCCTTTGCCTCCTGAGTGCTGAGATTAAAGGCAAAGGCCACAATTTTAATCCATGTTCTGAAAACCAGAGAACAAACCAATGACATTAAAAGAATTATTCTCCACAAATGGTTCAGTAGGTCTTTATGAATAATAAGCAACATGAAAAAGTACCCAGACATCTTTCAGAGAGAGACAACATCTTTCTGCACTAACACCTACCCTAGGAAATACCACTGCGGAAGCAACACAAGGCAAGACTTCAAAACACATTGACAGCTAGTATTTCTTCCAAGTTTATTCTGTATGAGGCTCCATATGAGCAAATAAATATATTATCTCGTGTATGCTCAAAAAACTGAAGACGTTCCTGGGGCTGGAGAGATGGCCCAGCGGTTAAGAACACTGGTTGTTCTTGTAGAAGACCCAGGTTCTAATCCCAGCACCCACATGGCAGCTAACAACTGTCCGTAACTCCGGTTCCAGGGGATTCAACAGCCTCTTCTGTCCTCTGCGGGCATTGCATGACATGGGTGCACTTACATACATGCAGGCAATACACGCATACATATAAAATAAAAATAATAAATAAAAAATAAAAAGAAGTTCCTGTTACTATTCCTGCCTTTCAGAGCGGCTGACCAAGGGCCCAGAGCTGAGTTAATAAAGAGACACAGTCAGACCTGAACAAGCAGGTAAGCTCCAGAGCCCAGTTTCCCAACTACTACATCAGCCATTTCTTTTGGCTTTTTACTTGAATATATAAACTTACTCATTCCTAACAATTATTCAAATTATAATCTCCAAGAAACCACCAATCATTCTGTGCCACTTCATTACATACCTCAAGGTTCAACACCAATCACAGTTCAAACATTTCATAGCCACCTGTTAAACCACACTTTTAAAAGTGGATGCTTATATGACTTACAAATTTAAGTAAGTCTCCTATTTGGGACTATTTTCAGGTTATTTAACTCCTTAGCATTATCTGTTACTGAATCCCAATTATTATGTATATTTTTATTCTCTTCAAAGAAAATGCTTATTTTCTAGGTTGTCAGTTTCTATAAAGAAAAAAGGAAAAATATATTCTGAAATTCACCTTTAAAAGTAGATTTTAAAAAAAAAAACTTCCAGATAAAACTATCACCACATATTTGCTGTCTGCTAGTTCAAGGGTGACATTTCCTGTTGTCACATCTCAAAGAAATCCCAAGCTTTTCCCCTGATGGTACATTTTTAATCTTTTTATTTCCCTTAGGCATCTAGTAATTCTTTGCTGGTTCAGAGACTAAGTGGAAAAGTAGCTGATATTTTGAAAAAAGTTTATTTTGGTAAATATGAGTATCAAAGGATAATATAGGTATACAGAATAAAAATTTGACTATTCAAACATAATTTCCTAAACCAGGTACAGTAGGGTACACCTGTAATTACAGCTACTCAGAAGGCTGAGGCAGGAGAACACCTGAGTCCAGGAATTCAAGACGAACTTGGGCAGAGAGCAAGACACTGTCTCAAAACAAAACAAAACAAATAAAACCTCAACATGCTATATCAAGTGTGGCTGCACCATATTACTACAGCCACCCAGGGCTCCCTCATTTAATCTTTAATTTTTAAATTTTATATACATACATACGTGTGTGTGTGTGTGTGTTTGCATGTGCATGCACACCACGGCATGCATGTGGATGTCAGAAGACAACTTCTTGTACAATGTCTGTCCCAGGAATCAAAATCAGGTCACCAGGCTTGGCAGTGACCTGATTATATCAGCTGAGTCACCTTGCTGGTCTCCTTGTTTTAACGTATCAAAGCTGCATAGCTAGAGAGAGAGAGCTAAGAAGACACCTTGGCACAAAGAAAACATTTATCAGAATGATAATTAAAAGTTATTTGAGGGGTTAGAGAGATGGCTCAGCAGTTAAGAGCACTGGCTGCTCTTGCAGAGGACCCAGCTTCAGTTCCTAGCACCCACATCACAGCTAACAACCAACCGTCCATAACTCCAGCTCCAGGGGATCCAACACCCTCTTCTGACCTCTGTGCACACTGCATGATATGGGTGCACTTACATACATGCAGGCAATACACCCACACACATAAAATAAAAATAATAAATAAAATATTTTTAAAGTGATTTTGAAATTACAATTTTACCAATGGTAATTTGGTAGATTCAGCTATTCTGTTTCAAATACATGTTAAAAAGAAAAGTGTATATCACACAGGAAGCAATTACATTACCATGCAAATGTTAATTATATTTACTACCAGAGTTTAGCCAAGCAAAGAAAATCAATTACTGAACCTGACATTCATTCTTTTAAATGAGTGTACTACACAGTTCTTTTCTGATTTAAGTGGCATGCACACACCTATGCTGCCCCCTTATGGTCATTTGGACAAAAATATTACCTGATTTCAAAAAGTGTGAGGTTGTTTAAAAAGTGTTTCTTGGAACTTGGTGAATATTCACATAAGTGAGATATTAAATTCTCTTGAATTGATACAATAGCCTCGAATCTATTTCTTTGACATTAAAACAAAAAGATAAAGAAGAGATATTACTAAATTGTTATTGTGAATATTGCTGGTGAAGGGAAAGGTTTAAACAGAGGTGGTTATAGAGACCAGGACCTTTATATACAATATAAATATTTACTTGGCTTATTCGAAAATAATATTTTTGAGGATCTTTGTGCACAAGCAGAAAGCACATTTTTCTTATTACTTGCAACTAATGTCCTGGCTTCTGTAAGCATCTGGCTTGTCTTTAAGGCCCACGGCTGACTTTTTCCTACAAGGGGTGTCATCCCACATGCCATGAGAATTTTTTGTGGGGGGGGTTGGATGGGACATGAAGGACATAACAACACAGACAGCCAGACTAAGCAACATCTATTCCCCAACCCCCAGGTCCCAATGACAAACCAATTTTTTATTTCACCAAAGTTCACCCTGGGGAACCATTAGTAAGTAAACCATTAGGCTTACTTACAGAGCATAGGTGAAGGGTTACTGGCAGGGTAACCCCAAAGCAGCTCTGGAAAGTCTTTACCCAGCAACTGGAGCTGGCTTCACCATAGCCACAGATGGAGGCTCCTTTCTCATACAATCCTAGTCACCTTTCTATTGCTGTGATACAATCCTCTGTCCAAATCCAACTTGGAAAGGAAAGGGTTTATTTGACTTACACATCCCAATTATAGTCCCCCACTAAAGGAAGCCAGGGCAGGAACCTGGAGGCAGGAACTGAAGCACAGACCACAGAGGAATGTCATTTATTGGTCTGCTCACTCTAGCCTGTGCTCAGCCTGCCTTTTCCCATCCAAGTACTAACCAGGTCTAGTCCTGCTTAGTGTTCGAGACTGGAAGAGACTGGGTATATTCAGAGTGGATGGCCAAATCTCAGCCAGCTTTCTTACGCAACCCAGGACCACCTGCCCTGGGGTGGCATGGCTCACAATGGGCTGGGTCCTCCCACATCACTTAATAATCAAGAAATGCCTCACAGGCATGCCCATAAGCCAATCTGAGAGAGGAAAAATTTCCCAATTGAGATTCCCTCTTCCCAGGTGTGTCAAGATGACAAGTGACACTATCCAGCACACCTAGTCTCTCCAGCCTCCACCAGGAGATCCCAGGCCAAGTGAGTTTAGGGTAAAAGTGCATACAGATGGCTTGGAGGAGTGGCCTGACACTCAGGTGATAGTCCAATGATGCTCCCCATCCCCTCCTTCTACAAGTCCAGCTGTGATGATCTTTTGCAAGCAGACAGATGGTCTTATGAAGATGATAGTTGTTTTGCTTGGAAGATAGTGTTGTACAATGCTGTGTCTTCTGTTAACCTAACAAGGGCTATTTGGGCCAAAAATGGGACAAAATGAGAAGAAAAGAGAAATAAACTTCCCTTGACTACCTACAAAGAGCAGGATAAGAATTAAGGGTCAAAACTTGAGATCATCTCACCAAAACAAGTAGGCTCCCCCAAAAATTATGTGTTCAAATTTCCAACAAGGGTGCAATTCATCAAGACCCCTGCGTCATTTAGCTGTGAGCATCTAGGATCGCAGTACAGACACTAATGAAAATTCATCAGTATTCTCTGTTGGGAAAGCCTGTGAGCAACCAGGTACTTCCCTTTGATACAAAGGTCTTCTCCAGTTAAAACCTGTTTCTTGCTTTTGACTGGAACTATAGCCATGGGGGGGGCAGCTATGGCAATCTAAAGTGTGCACTGGACTTTAAATAGGCATCAGAAGACAACAGGTTAACTAATACATAAATGGTAAAAATTTATAGAGAAAATCTTCAAAAATATAAGATTTATAGAGAAATAACAAAGGTGTAAAGATTATGAATTCAATCGAGTCAGCCTGAAAATCTGTCTTGGCACTGTTATTGAGAGACTGGTAAAAAGTGCTTATTTTGCTAGTTTAACTTTTCACCTGTGTTTTAAAAGGAAGGAGGGACAGAGGGACAGAGAGAGGAGGGAGGGAGGGAGGGAGGGAGGGAGTTAAAAATTATGAATTCTTTTAAGGCTGGGTGTGGATACAAGATGAGCCTAAAATCTTATGGTGCTAGAAAGTGAGGAATGCCCAATTAAAAGGATAGGAGCAGTCGAAGGGATGAAGATCCCAGCACTCAGAAGCCTAAGACAGGAAGGTTCCAAATTCAAGGTGAGCCTGGGTTTACAGAAACCAAACTGAAAATGTTTCCACTTGCCAAATTAGAAAGAAAAAAAAAATAGTAATTGGCCGGCACTGGCACAGTGACTGTATTGGTGTAGAAGTGGCACTTTTATCTTGGGGGTAATCAACAGCTATCTAACTGGACTTAAAGCCAAATGCACATGGCCGGAGAGGTCATAGATTCTAGAGAAAACCCTATCTCTGTCATATACCTAGACAAATGTAATTTCTTACTGTATGCTAAATATATATATATATATATATATATATATATATATATATATCCCTATACGTATGGACAAATATAGCTCTCACCAATAACCAAGAAGCTTCTTTTTGCAACAGACGAAAACTATTACAGAGTTCCACAACTGGTCACACAGAGAATAAGTGTCTGTGAGATGCTCAGACCTGAGTGACATATCTACAATAGAACCTCTACACCTAAAGCTCACAGAATATAGCTGAACAAGCGGTAGAGAGGATATTAAATGCAGCTCTCAACTCTCGCCACTGAAGCTTCCTCATGCAACAGGAGGTGATTAACAAAGAAGACCACAACTAGTCAAACTGTAAAGAATAGGAAACTGCAGAATATGTGTCCCTGGATAGAACTCATAAACCTCACCCACCCAGGACTCAGGCACCACTGGGGAAGAAGGGACAGAAAGATTGTTCAAGCCAGGGGTGGTGGATGACCACAAGGGAACAGTTTTGCAGGCTTCTGGGAACTTGCTCATATGAACTTACAGCAATAGTGACAACATGCACAAGACCCATGCAAATTCAAACCAGACAAAAACCCAGCATAGAACTGAGAGAATGGGCAGGAGGCCCCAACCTTAGAAGGAACAACTGGCAGCTGATCACTGCTGGGTGAGAGAGAGTTGGTCTTCTTTAAGGGAGTGAGAATAGATAGGCTAACTAGGCCCCAGTGGATGAACTCACACCAAGAGACATCTGGGGACACAAACTTGACTTAACAGGCCTAAATATATATGACACAATGCATGAAACCTGGTAGGGAATCTATGGGGTAGATACAGGGAAGGAAGTCTATGAGTAAGATGTATGAAATGCACAAAAATTCAGCCAAAAAAATTGTAATTGAATTGAGCTGGAATTTCAAAAAAAAATAATCATGAGTCATACTGATACAAAAAATATGAAAAAAAGACAAGCCTTCTTTATAAAAGAATTCCAAGTAATAAAATATTGAAAGAATGAGATACATATTAAGTCATCATTGGCATGCCACAGAAATCACTGCTACAGATAAATCCAACAGAGGCTAAAATTAATGTGTGAAAGTTTAAGTAGGAAAAAAAATGTGTAGAAAAAGGAAAAAATAGAAGCCCTTGTTTAGGGTCTTAGAGTGCCCCCTCTAGAGAATGTGAACATCAATGAAGTTCTCTCTCCATCTAAGCTCCTTTTAAGTCCTTTTCTTTCTAATATGTGCCTGCTTCAAGATGATTTTCTTTTCCTTTTTTTTTTTTAATTTTATATGTATGCGTGTATTGCCTGCATGTCGGTAAGTGCACTCATGTCATGCAATGACCACAGAGGACAGAAGGGGCTGTCGGATCCCCTGGAATTGGAGTTACGGACAGTTGTTAGCTGCCATGTAGGTGCTGGGATTCGAACCTAGGTCTTCTGCAAGAACAACCAGTGTTCTTAACCGCTGAGCCATCTCTCCAGCCCCAAGATGATTTTATTATTCAAAGCCAGGCCAGTCTGTCACTACTAATTTTTAGTTTCTTTTGTCCTCTAAAAATCCATCCAAAGCCTCACTGTTTTTTTAATTTCTCTTCTCTGTACACAAAGCAGTACTCCTCGAAGTCATACCAACTCCTGGCTGACCTGAGACCTGTCGAGTGCAGGTGAACTATAAAAATTCCTCCTAGTAACACTCTACAGGATACCTGGGAACATTACAAAGTGGACAAGCATGACAGGATGGAAAGAAAGAAGGGCAGACACAGTAGGGGGATGGGGCCTCCTGGGCATATCCAACCAGGGGAAGGGTCTAAAGTGCAGTATTACTGAGGGACACCATATCTACTAACATCTTGACTACAGGGTTGACACAAACCGAGACAGTTACAAGGTAAGTATTTTCTCTAAAGATGCTTCACATATTATGGTTGTTTGAACCAGTGTTCCCCATAGGTTCCAAGTATTTGGGCACTTATTCCCTAGTTTGTGGTGCTGTTTGGGAAGGGTCAAGGAACCACTAGGAGGTGTGGCCATTCTGGAGGAAGCAAGTCACTGGGGGCAAGCTTTGAAAGTTCTTAAGCATTGCCAGATTTTCTCTTTTTTTCTCTCTCTCTCTCTCTCTCTCTCTCTCTCTCTCTCTCTCTCTGCCTCCTCCACCTGCTTAAAATGTGATCCTCAGCTTTCTGCTCTGGCCACCTCTGCCTTCATGCCTCTGCCACCATAATAGACTCTAATCCCTCTGGAATCATAAGCCAAATAAACTCTTCCTTCTTTAAGTTGCCTTGGTCGTGGTATTTTATCATAACAACAGAAAAGTAACTAATATGCATATGGATCCTCTACAATTAGTAATTCATCTGGTTCAAGTTAAGTCATATACAGTTCTTCACTATGAGAACACTGGGACTTCTCACACATAACAGTGGGAGCTAGAGACACAATTAGCAGTACTCAGTCTATATCTGGACTATAAATTTGATTAAGATTATGTAATTGTTCATGAATTTTGAATCAGGGCTGGTGAATGGCTTGCCACCAAGTCTCATAACCCGAGTTTGATCCCCAGGAACCACGTGGTGGAAGGTGAGAACCAACTTCCACAAGTTGACCTCTGAGCTCCATATCACAGAAACACACACACACACACACACACACACACACATACACACACATACACACTAATTTGGACCAGATATAGATGTTTTAAAACCTGGAACTATCACATTTAAAAATTAAGATTTCTAGCTGGGCGTGGTGGTGCATGCCTTTAATCCCAGCACTTCGGAGGCAGAGGCAGGTGGATCTCTGTGAGTTCAAGGCCAGCCTGGTCTACATAGTGAGTTTCAGGACAGCTGGAGCTACAGGGAGACCCTGTCTCAAAAAGACCAAAAAAAAAAAATTAAGATTTCTGCTCTGGGGACTGGAGATAGCTCAATGGTTAATAGTACTTATTGCTCCTGCAGAGGACCCAGGTTTGCCCCAGCACCCACCTGGAGCTCACAACCACCTGTAACTCTAGTTTCAGAGGCTCTGACACCCTCTTCTGGCCTTCTCGTTCAATGCATGCACTTGGTGCACATACATACATGCAGGCAAACCACTCATACACACAAAACTAAAATAAATCTTTTAAAAAAAGAAAAAAAAAGATTGCCTGAAAAAAAGAATGTAAATAAATAAATAAGATTTCTATTTTGGTTTCCAAATTGGAAAAAAAATAAGATTTCTGGTTTCTCATGGTGAAGAAAATAAGAGATCTACAGATCTGGGTGCAGGAGGTTTATTTTTGCATCATAACAAAGCAGTATACTGCTCCCTTGAGGTACTACTAGCTCTTTGATTCCTTCCCCAAAACTCATAGACATGCATACACACAGCTAATACCCATCCTTCTTGGTGAATGTGTATTATATACCTAGTACCTATAGCAAAGTGGATGGCAATATATGCTGTGTGGGATACAACTGCTCTCAGTAATTAAAAAGCTCTTACATACCATCTACATAAGTCTCCATGTTGTCTAAAATTTACTATGGCTAATTATATACTGCAAAGACACCATATTCCCCTGAGTGTCATTCTTTTACTTTTGGGGTCTTTTTTGAGATAGGGTCTGGAATTAACTATGTAGCCCAAGCTAGACTTGAACTCAAAACAATTCTCCTGCCTCAGCTTCCCAAGGACAAGGATTACAGGTGTGAGCCACTACACCCAGCTTACTCTTTACTATTAATAAGCTAGATCAGCAGATAGAATTGCATAGAAATCTTGTTCAAAAAGACTGCTGGACCCCACCAGTCAAAGTTCATGCTTCCTAGCATGAGATGGTCCTAAGATGACTGTAGTTCTAACTGCATGTCTTGATTATCTATAGAACAGTAATATCCAACAGAACTTTATACAGCCATGGACACAGTCTACACAAAATGCTGATGAAGGTATTCAATGTGTGATTTGAAAAACTGAATTTTTAACTTTATTTCATTTTAATTCATTTCTATTTGAATAGTGACATGAGGCTAATAGCTACCATACTGGACAATGTAGCTCTACAGGCTCTTGAAGAGCCAAATACAGAGTACGATGGAAGAAGAGGGCAGCTTTTATATTAGCATAGCTGGTAAAACCCAGAATTAAGCACATAAGATGTAGCTTATTTTTAAAAATCGGTTTTTAGCAGGCTGTGGAAGCAAACACCTTTAATCCCAGCACTCGGGAAGAAGAGGCAGATGGATCTCTGTGAGTTCAAGGTCAGCCTGATCTACATATCTAGCTCCAGGTCATCCAGGGCTACATATGAAACCCTATCTAAAAATTTTTTTTAATGAAAAAGTCAACTTTTAACATTCTTAGTTTGTACCTAGAACTAGCCACACCAGGAAATGGTAGGACTTCATCTTATGTAACAAGAAAAGCAATACATCATCAAGTTTGTTTCTTTTTACCTTTCATTCCCCTGGAAATCACAGTCACCCAGTCAGGTCCACTGGAGTTGATTGGCATTTTGATATTGACACCACTTTAGGAGGAATAAAAAAAAGCACAAGCTTAGACTTAGATTCGGGTACATTTGTTTTCAGTTACATATCTTCATCTGTACATTAAAAAAAAAAACATGTTTTCACAGAGCCTTATGGTAAAGTAGAAAAGTTAAATAATACAATAATTAATAACTAGGTCTCTTGCAAGAAGCAGGTTATATAAACTGAAGAGGAATTTGATCGATTTCTAGTAAGTTTTCACTGTACAATATACATATACATATATAGAGAGATAGATATACAGATATATATTCTGTTTAGCCACTTTAGGAATGCAAACTCCAAAATGACTAACTTTGGGTTGAAATTACCTTTTAGACTCAAGAATGCCTATTTCGTTGCTACAAAGTTTTGAAGCGACAAGTCTATGCAGAACTAAGTCACATACCAGATTTCTTAGGCACGCCCAGATCTGAGATAAGTCTCCATGGAAACATTTGCCCCAGATATATATTCAAATGTACTTTGTTCATCATTACTGATTCTTTGGTGTCCATTCCCCTTACTACAACAAATATTCCTCAAAGATATAGGCAGGGCCTCATTCACCTTTGCATCTTTAGCTCTTAGCACAGGTCCTAGACTACAGTCTATGCTTAGTAAATGCTTTTTAAAGAATTGCATGAAAAACTGAGGGAGAATAAAGGTCAGGAGAAAAACAATGGAAACCCTGTGCTTCCAAAAACTAGTCACTATTAGAGCTCTTGCCTTTTAATTAAAAACTTTTTTTTTTTTTTTTTGTCTTTTTGAAGCAGGGTCTCCCTGTAGCCCCAGCTGTCCTGGAACTCACTATGTAGACCAGGCTGGCCTTGAAGTCACAGAGATCCACCTGCCTCTGCCTCCCGAGTGCTGGGACTACAGGCGTGCACCACCATGCCTGGCTAATTAAAAACATTTTTTTAAATGTAAACTGTTCATCATGTTTGGTGGCACACGCCATTAGTCCCAGCACTTAGAGGCAGAGGCAGGCGAGGCTCTCTATGGATCAAGGCCAGCCTAGCCTACATAGCAAGTTCCAGGTCAGCAGGAACTACAGGGAGACTCTGTCTGAAAAATAAAATATATAATAATAAAATAAAATGTAAATTGTTTAACCTCTTGATATAGGAATGTGTCACCATGATAATTTTACTGCTTCATAAATTTCAGAAAAATGTGCTCATTCTATAAACAATTCTAAGCTTCTTTTATGCATTAGGCATTATCCTAGCCTGAGCTAATATGACAAACAAGACCCAGAATTTTCCTGATCATGGAACTAACATTCTAGAGAGGGAGACACAAAAACAAATAATGAAATTTATATATTATATATTATGTAAGATATACAACAATTTTCATATAAAATAGCTACAGAAAAATTTCCTGAAAAAACATTTAACCTCTTTCTAGTCATGTGAACACAATAAAGCAAATCTAATGTAAAGGACATTTTATAAAACATCAATATTGAAATAGTCCATATCATAAAAAACAAAAGAGTTGAAAAACTCTTCTAGATTAAAAATTATATATTATGTAAGATATACAACAATTTTCATATAAAATAGCTACAGAAAAATTTCCTGAAAAAACATTTAACCTCTTTCTAGTCATGTGAACACAATAAAGCAAATCTAATGTAAAGGACATTTTATAAAACATCAATATTGAAATAGTCCATATCATAAAAAACAAAAGAGTTGAAAAACTCTTCTAGATTAAAAAGATAACAAGCACATAATGTAATCACAGATTAGATTACCTGCAATGGACAACTGCAAAGGACATTGCTGGGACAAACACAGTCTAGGTGTGCGAGAGAACAGTGCCACAGCAATGATAAATGTCTAGGCTGTGATATCGTGCTATGATTATATGCTGGGAAAAAGTCCATGTCTTAGGAAATGCAGTTGGGGTGGCTTTATTTTCTCTTTAGTTTGAGGTTTTGTTGTTGTTAAGTTGATGTGTGTCTGTATGCATGTGTACATATGCAGGTTTATGTGTATGCAGGTATGGTATAGGAGTCAGAGGACAATGTCAGTCAGATGTCAGTCCTCTGGTACAGACTACCTTGGTTTTTGAGACAGGGTCTCTCACTGACCTGAGGCTTACCAATTAGGCTAGGCTAGCTAGCTAGAGAGCCTCAAGAATCTGCCATCTTTCCCTCCTCAGCTCTAGGATTAAAAGCACAGGCCACCACACCCAGATGTTTTTCACGCATTCTAGAGATTCAACATGGCTCCTCATGCTTGAGTGGCAATCACTCTAGGGGCTAAACTATCTCTCCAGCCCTTTTTCCTTTGTTTTTTGAACCCAAGCTACCCTTGAAACTCACAATCTTCTTCCTCGGTCTCTTTACTTGAATTACAGATATGAACCACCATGCTTGGCTTGAAGTGCTTTTTCTATTTATTTATTTATTTATTCATTCATTCATTCATTCATTCATTCATTCATTGTCTTTTTGAGACAGGGTCTCCCTGTAGCCCCTGCTGGCCTGGAACTCACTATGTACACCAGGCTGGCCTTGAACTCACAGTGATCAGCCAGCCTCTGCCACCCCAGTGCTGGGACTAAAGGCTAGTGCCACTACGCCCAGGAAGAGCTTTCTGAAAATAAAAAGTCAGAAAGGAGAAACCAGCCTTCTTCCCTGGTAAGGCTGATCGCATCCACTGCACCCTGACTCCCCACAGCCAGAGAAAATCCAATCTCTTCCCCTCACATCCTGTTCTCCTTCTAGCCTTGGGCTCAGGCCTGGTTTTGCTCTTAGCGCCCCAGATCTCTGGACTTTTAATCCAGACTTGTATACTACATCCTGATCCCCCAAACTCAAACCTGCTCAATATTTCAGTCTAATTTCTCAGAACCTCCACATACTGTCCCCACACCCAACTAGCTTTCACACTACCAGCCTTCTACCCTGGCTGTCAGAAAACCTAATTTGCCTTGAACTGCCTAGACCAGCCTTCTTCCCTGGTAAGTCTGATCCCACCCATGGCACACTGACTCCACTACAACCTGAAAAACTCTCCCACCCCACATCCTGTTCTCCTTCTAGCCTTGGGAACAGGACCCCTTTTGCTCTTAGCACCCAGATCTCTGGATTACCCTCTTAACTTCAAAAAGCAGTGAGCTTTCCAAATCACACTGTGTCCATCCTCCTATATTGGAACCACCTACAGCCCCTTACACTGCTGCAGGGTTAGGCTTCCCTGCCATTTAGTAGGGGCCCAAACCTTGGAAGACTGCCTGCTATCACCTGAATCCAGCCTCCACCTAGCAAGTTTCCCAAATTGTGCTATGCCTGCTGACTAGAGCAGCCCAGACCTTAGGTGGAAAACAGAGCATGTGATTCTCACCTGACTCGGACCTCTGTGGGAATTCCTGAGTACCTGGACTACAGCCATCTGATACCTCCAATATAAAATCAAAAGAAAGAACCTGAAGCCTAGACCAATCAGCCTTTCATACCCAATAAGAAAACAACAAAGGCACATCAAGTATACAAACAGAAACAGATTTAAACTCAACAAAGGAAGGCTCGAGTCTCACACCAGAATCAGAAAGAACAAAAGAAATCCACATCCCAAAGTCACAACAAAAAAACATGAAAACCCCAAATGCCATGTCCCAACGAAGCATCAACAATACTATAGAAGAGCTCTACAGTGAGAACCCCCTAGAGATAACCCAGGACACAGAATTCAAAAGAACAATTATAAACACGATCAAAGAATTCAATGAATATAAAGAACCCACAAAGAAAGAAAGAAAAGAAGATAGGGATAATTCTGACTGAATTCACAAAAGAGTTAGAAATATTGAAGAAAACTCAGGCTGAAATGAAGAAGGAAATGAAACATTCAATAAGCCAATTAGAAATGACAGGAGAAAGCCTCACCAATAGGATGAATGAAATGGAAAACAGAATATCAAGACTGGAAGATAAAATGGACAAATTAGACCACTCAAGCAAAGACTGAAAAATTTAAGAAAACACAGGAAAAGAATATGTGGGGAATGTGGGACACCATGAAAAGTAAAAATTTATGCATCATAGGCATAGAAGAAGGAGAAGAATCTCAGGTTAATGGTATGGACCCGATCTTCAACAGGAATGTAGAAGAAAATTTCCCAAAATTAAAGAAAGACATGTCCATACAAATACAAGAAGCATATAGAACACCAAATAAGACCAGAAAAGAAAACTCTCCTCATGGCATATCATAGTAAAAATATTAAATGTACAGAAAAAAGAGAGTACTGAAAGCTGAAAAAGAAAAACAACAACTCACATATAAAGGAAAACCCATCAGAATTACAGCTGACTTTTCAGTGCAAACTATGAAAGCCAGAAGCACCTGGACCAAAGTATTCCCAGTTCTAAATGACAACAAAGAAAGACCAACCCAGAATACGTTACCCAGCAAAGACATCTATTATAGTTCAAGGGGAAAGAAAAATTTTCCACAACATGAATAGACTGAAAGAATTCATGTCCACAAAACCAGCCCTTCAGAGAATTCTTGAAGCAATACAAAGAACTGAAGAAAGGAAGGATTATAGCCAAGGGGTAACAGAAAGAAACTAAATGAAGATATAACTATGGAAATGCAGTTAAACCAAGAATGCAAACAGAAATTAAAATGACAGGAATCAATACACATCCTTCAATAATAACTTTAAATATCAACAGACTAAACTCCCCAGTCAAAAGACACAGGCTAGTTGAATGGATTAAGAAACAAAATCCATCTTTTTGTTGTCTGCAAGAAACCCATCTCACCTTCAAGGACAGGAACTACCTTATGGTGAAAGGATGGAAAAGAATACTTCAAATGGTACTCAGAAAAAAGCAGGAGTTGCAATTCTAATATCTGACAAAATAGGCTTCAAACTAAAACTAATCAGAAGTGATAAAGAAGGCCTCTTCATTCTGATCAAAGGAAAAATCAACTAAGAAACTATTACAATCATAAACATATATGCACCAAAC